GAAGGACTAGCGCTATCTCGGCCATCACTATCCGAGCCTTTTCTAGTCTCCTTCTCCATTGAGATCACTTTCTCTAATCCGGTAATGTTTTCCATGCAAGCTTTCAATTTAGCAGACAGCTCATCAATCTGAAAGCATAAATCATCCAAGGAAAAAGCAATTTCACATCATTTTATAAAGTCTTAGCATACTGCAAAAAATAACTACCTCTTTCTTTCCTATTGTGATCTTTTCCATGAGCTGTTTGACAAGAGTAAGAAGTTTCTTCTTTTCTGTGGCTTCCATAGTTTCTCCTTCCGCTTTTAACTGAAAAACAAAACAATAGAAACCAGTCCAGCTTCTCCAAATAAATAGCCTACCTTCTTCACGACAATTTTCTGGCGATCCATCAGCTTCTGTAGCAAATCGGTCTGCCTCTTATGTACGTTGAAAATTGAAATTTGATTGGACTGAACAGGGAAAAATCGATGACGATATTCTACTAAGACTCTCCAACCCACCTTTTCAACTTTCAGCTTACGTCGAGCTTCCATGATTTTCTCACGACTTTCCTTCAACTCTTGATTGACAAACTTTGACATTTCAATTGTTGCAACCTTGGTGGGCGGTTGGGCAGGTGGAGGGGCATTTTCAGACCCTGGCTTATCCACATTCACACCAGAATTGAGCACTGAGCGCTGGAAAACGAAATAACTTAGCAATTTATAGAACTTGGGCGATATGCAAACTTACATCCTGCCCAGCTGTTGCCCCAGCAACGATATCAGGGTTGTAGAAGAACACCTTGATGAAGCGATTGTTCAATACAGGTTGGGGCGACTTGTAAGCAGCCATGGCTTCGCCGCGGGATGCGTAGGTGATGAGTGCAGCATCTGCTTCGCCATTGAATCGAACCTGGAAGTCATATTAAGAATTTTTTAACTCGGTAGAACTGAAAAAAAAACTACCTGCATATTTACGATGCTTCCAAATGCCGCGAAATGCTCATTCAGTTTAGCGATGTTATTTAGCTCAGAAGGAATCTTCTTGACCTGAACAGAACTGGCTTAGCTGCAAAAATCAGACGACTTCCTTAGAGGCAGTGGGCAGGCAAAATGGATCCTTGTCGGATTTTGGTGAAGTTAGGTAGTGTATCTCCCAAGTACACAGTAGCCCAAACCCCACCTGCCAATTCATGCGCTAACAAGGGAATGGTCAAAAATCGAAGTGGCCAATCC